CTAATCCACTGATGAACGCAGTGCCTGCATGATCCACTCACCTCCCAAGTCCATCAGTTGGCAGCCTTCACACACAGGCCTTTGCGGGACCTTAACAATCTCCTAAGGTGTCCCAGTCAGTAAATCAGTAAAGATGTGCTGTGTGTTGGGCTTGTTTATTCTGTGTTTCTATGGTAGAATGAGTGGAGATCTTGCTGTCTCAGAACTTGTATCTGGTGAGGAGCACTGTGTTAAGGTCCTTTCCCATGAAGACATAAGAGTAATGATATTAAGGTAAGGGAATACTAATAGATTTTATGCATGCATTTGAATGTAAAATGCCCTGCACAGCCCCACTCATGGTCCTGAGTGGGTAGGGTGTTTGGAGTTTTTCAGAGGTGGAGCCTGTCTGGAGGAAGCGGGTCACTGGGCATGGCGGGTCAAGAGCTTTTAGAGCCTGGCCTGCTTCCTCCTAGTCACCATTTTCAGACTGCAGACGCAATGTGAAGAGCCACTTCTTTTTGCCAGGCCTCTCCTGGTACGGCGGACTTTATCCTCATAAACATGAGCCAAAACACTGCTTTCTTCTCCTTAATTTGCTTCTTGTTAGTCTTTGCTCACAGCCGTGAGAAAGGTAACAACAACAACAACAACAAATTAAGAAGCCTGGGAAAGCCAGGTAGTGGTGGCGCACGCCTTTAATCCCAGCACTCAGAGGCAGAGGCAGGCGGATCTCTGTGAGTTCAGGGCTAGCCTGGTCTACAGATAAAGAAACCCTATCTCAAAACAATTTATAAAAAACCTTAGAAACAGAACAGACCCCTAACAATGTTACTACACTACTAAAGGCTTCCTGTTCTCAGCTGCCAGGGTCATGCAGATGATGAATAAGTGTAAGAATTATCAATTCCTTATTTACAAATCCACAACCTACAACACAGAGAATTTCTCTCTCTCTCTCTCTCTCTCTCTCTCTCTCTCCACACACACACACACACATACACACAGAGGCTAGAAACTGCCTGAGAAGTGATGTTGCAGTGGAGCCATTTGATTGTGGGGTTGTTTAGTTCCCTAAAGCAGGTCTTTGTCCCGGGTCTGGCTGCTGGGTATGGGGAGTAGGTGCACACAATGCTGCAGCCACACTGAAGGCAGGTGAACATCAGTGTCCACTTAGGGAGCAAGCTGAGGCTCTGTGTGCACTGTCCTCATTCTGTGACAGGCACTGCCACTCATGTTCCCCTCCAAGGGCTTTACAGTGTCAGCCTGGCAGGGCTGCCTCTCGCTAACCCTTCTCCCATAAACCTGGTTAGGCACCTCACTTCCATGAGCAAAGAAAAGGCCTGCAACAGGCAGGACGGTAATCTCTCTCGCAGGTGGAGCCTCTGTGGCCCTTACTTTTCTTGTTGCTGTGACCAACACCTGCCTAGGAGCCAAGGAGGAAGGGTATTCTGCTTAGAGTCTTGAGCTACAGCCCATCATGGTGGAGAAGCATGGCAGTGGGTGACGACTGCACACGTCTGGTAACAGAGCAGACTGAGCTTGCCTGGCTTCCTCCTTCCTCCTGATTTATTCAGTGGGATCCGTCTCGTGGGCAGCACCTCCCTGTGTGCTTTCTCCTCAGCTAAGAGTCTCTGAGAAACACCCCCAGCAGGCACTCTCTTGCTTACATCTCCTACCTAATTCCAAATCTAGTCACCTGATAGTAAAGATCATAGCCCCAGGAAGCCAGACAGTGGAGCTGCCAATTCTGCCACTAAAGCTGCAGCCATGTGAACAGCTGCAGCCATGTGAACAGCTGCAGCCATGTGAACAGCTGCAGCCATGTGAACAGCTGCAGCCATGTGAACAGCTGCAGCCATGTGAACAGCTGCAGCCATGTGAACAGCTGCAGCCATGTGAACAGCTACAGCCATGTGAACACCTGCAGCCATGTGAACAGCTGCAGCCATGTGAATAGCTACAGCCATGTGAATAGCCATGTGAACAGCTGCAGCCATGTGAACAGCTACAGCCATGTGAACAGCTGCAGCCATGTGAACAGCTACAGCCATGTGAACAGCTGCAGCCATGTGAACAGCTACAGCCATGTGAACAGCTGCCTCACAACTTGGTCTATTCAGACAGAAGCAGAAAAGTAACCCAAACAGCTACGTAAAACTCTTTTCTAAAGTTTATTTACTTACATACTTGACATTCTTTTTAGGCCTATTTTTAAAGCTCTAGCCAGGGAAAGCAAGTGTGTGAGAACGCAGTAGAGGCAGGCTTCCCTTCTCCATCTGCTCAGACTGCAGTCTGTGATGCTCCTTAACCCTCAGTTTTGGCCTGGCGGTGGTGGCACAGGCCTGGAACCCTAGCACTCAGAGGCAGAGGCAGGCAGATCTCTGAGTTTAAGGCCAGTCTGGTCTACGGAGGAAATTTCTAGGCAGCCAGGGTCTTAAAGAAAAACAAAACAAAACAAAACACTCCAGTTTCCCTTCAGGCTATGTTCCAGCAATACTGTTCTGTGGCAGAAGATCTGGGCTGTCACTACCCATGCCGTTTGTCTTAGTTAGGGTTTCTATTCCTCTGAAGAGACACCACAACCATGGCAACTCCTATAAAGGAAAACATTTAATTGGGTGGCTCACAGTTCAGAGGTTTAGTCCATCACTGTCATGGCGGGATATGGCAGTACTTAAGCAGACATGGTGCTGGAGAAGGAGCTGAGAGTTCTGTATCCTAATCCACAGGCAACAAGAGATGAACTGTGACACTGGGTGTAGCTCGATCAGAAGAGAACTCAAAGCCTACACCCAATATCCACAGTGACACTTCCTTTCCCCAACAAAGCCACACATATTGCCACTCTATGAGCTTATAGGGGCCAAATACATTCAAACTACCACACCATGTCTGATGGGACCACTTTTAAATACAAAAATACAAACGTCTACAGATGTTCCAGTCAGTCATTAAGAAAGCTTAATTAAGTCAGCCTTTATTAAACACCTTTGGGAAACAGGTATATACACACATGCACATACATATACACACACACTAGGTTGTCTGTCCTCCACATATACATACACTAAGTTGTTTACTTTCCATACATACACTAGATTGTCTACTCCCTTCACAAAGTTTCCTGTGGCCAACTCTATGTAGTCTGCCCTTGACAATCAAGAGTTATTTAACATTCTTGTTGAAGAAAACAACCAAACAGAACACTTATTTTGGAATATGCTGATGAGTGCAATGAAGAAACACATTCCTAACAAGAATGTGTTCACAAGACAAGGACATAAGAAATGCATTTTCAATTTTTGAAGTTTCCAGTGAACACAGGCTGACCTTAAACCAAGGCTCACTTCACTATCTGGCAATTTAGCCTAAAATAATCAAGCAAATGCCAAATATATATATATATATATGTATGTATACACACACATACATACATATATAAAATCAGCAAACATGAGTGAAGACAATGGCATCTTGCTGTAAATACAAAAGTGAAAACGAGGAAATAGCTCTGGGTAGCTGATGACATGGACTGGCTCAGTGAGATGTGATGTAAAAGTTTAATTCTATTAAAATTTTATACATTTGTATGTTTTTTTGTTATCAAGACAGAGTTTCTCTACATGGCTCAGCCACAACTTCGCTGGAACCTTAGATATTAAGCTAAGTGAAATAAGCCAGTCACAAAGATACACACAGTCTCATCCCACTTTAATGAGTTATCCAAGAGTCAAACTCATAGAAACAGGTAGCAGGACAATGGCTCCTGGCAGCTGGACAGGCAGGAATGGAGGAGGTGTCAAAAGGTATATCTTACTCCTGTCAGAATGACTAAAATCAAAACTCCAATGACAATTTATGCTGGAAGAGGATGTGGAGAAAGAGGAACACTCCTCCACTGCTGGTGGGAGTGCCAACTCGTACAGTCACTTTGGAAATCAGTATGGAGATTCCTCAGCAAAATGGGAATCAGTCTGCCACAAGACCCAGCAATTCCACTCTTAGGCATATACCCAAAAGATGCACATTCATACAACAAGGATGTTTGCTCCACTATGTTCATAGCAGCATTATTTTTAATAGCCAGATTCTGGACACAACCTAGATGCCCCTCAACTGAAGGGTGGATAGAGAAAATGTGGTACATTTACACAATGGAGTACTACTAAACACTAACTGAACTCCTGGAACCCAGTGATAGAGAGGGAGGAGTGATGAGCAAAGGGGTCAAGTCCGGGCTGATAAAACATACAGAAACAGCTGACCTGAACAAGGGGGAGCTCTTGGACCTCAGACTGATGCTGAGAGGCCAGCACAGGACTGATCCAGACCCCCCTGAACATGATTGTCAGTGAGGAGGCCTAGGCAATCTATGGGCCTTGGGTAGTAGATCAGTATTTATCCCTGGCATCCAAATGGACTTTGGGTGCCCATTCCACATGGAGGGATGCTCTCTCAGCCTGGACACATGGGGGAGGGCCTAGGCCCTGCCCTGGATGAAATGACAGACTCTGGAGATCCCCATGGAGGGCCTCACCCTCCCTGGAGAGTGGTGTGGGGATTGGGTGCGGGGTTTAGAGGGCTGGTGGGAGGGCGGGGGAGGAGGGGAGGGAGAGGGAGCTGGGATTGACATGTGAAGCAAGCTTGTTTCTAATTTAAATAAAAAAGATTAAAAAAATTAAAAGGAATGGTATTTCAGCGTCACTAGGTGAAGAGGCCATGGAGATTTGTTACAAGACTGTGAATGTATGTGACCCCTTAAGAATGGTTCAGATGATAAAAAAAAAAAACAGGTATATTATATTATATTATATTATATTTGTCAATGTTCTACGAAGATTTTCAGAAACTCACCAAAAGGTAGACTAATGTGTGTGTATGTGTATCAGAACTATTAAGTGATAATCAATTGTGCAGTTTTACAGTTTGGCTCACAGGAAGTGTTAGTAATTTCAGATTTTGCTTCTGGTGAAAATATTGTCTTGCTAGAGTCTGTAAGAATATCAGGAGGGTCTTACCTGGGCCGGAGTGTTTACAGTCACAGGAGGTGGTGAGGCACTGACTTTTGGCTCACTGGGGGACGCTGCTGAGCCCTGAGACTCCTGGCTTGCTGGCTGGTCTGGAGACAAAGCATCACTGCTATCTTCATCAAATGAGAACTCCCCATGAGTGTGCGGATATTCTTCCTTCACCACACCTGCAGAGAGAACCATGGTTAACAAAGGCCGTGGAACCCTACGGCTGACCAAGAAAGGGGAGTTTTAGGAGCTGGCTTAAAGCTGGGCTCTTCCCAGAGAGAGCTTCACTACTACAGAAACGGAGGCTCTTCCAGCAGGAGCCACACTGCTGTCTGTCATGTACTCCTTGGGTTTGATGTTCTTCTAGTCACATCAAGCCTTGTGTCCAGCTCCCAGCTGTAGGAAGGGCAGGAGACAGGAATGCTTTCTTGTTACTTTGTTCTTGTGGAGCAGGGGATGGAGCCAGGACTCTGTATAAGCTGACCAGGAGGCCAGAGAATGAGCACTGCTCTGCAGACTGGCCCAGAGGGGAGGGAGTCTCAATGACACAGGAGCATACCACAGAAGAGGGCAATCTGGGATGTAAGCAGCAGGAGTGCACCTGCTCACAGAGTCATTTTTAAGAGATGCATGCAACCCAAATGTTAACATGGGGAAGCAAAGGAGAAAGCAAGAAGTGAGAGTGCCGAGGGGTCTACACGCCTGTCTCTCCATCCCACGGGACAGCACCCTACACTCACATCTTACCTTGGGGCTGTCTTCCCAAACGATGGGAATCAGAGTTGACTCTGTTTTAGAAGTTTGTGACTACAAACTAACTAAGCTTTAAACTCACACTAACTCAGAGTGTGAAGTTCTTGGGACTATGAGAGCTGTACTAGCTAGTTCTTCAGTTAGTATAAAAACAAAAACAAAAATCCCTCCAAAACAAAACCCAAACAAACAAAAACAAAACTGTGCTGAATAAGTATCATTCCTTATTTGTTTCCCTTAGAAAACTATGCCAGAAACAAAAACCTCAACAGTAACACAGGAAGGCCTCAGTGTGTGAGAATGTGCTGCGCACACGTAGGCCTGGGTTCAAGCGCCAAGGACAGAATGAGCAACACAAGCCCAGTGTAAGAGCAGGGGAAGCGGACAGACGCTACTTCTCTACAAGAGTGCGGTGAACCCATGGGCCGTACCCCTTGCTTGTGAAGCTTATTATCTTTCTAGGCAGACATAATGAAGTCTTAACAGTATTAAGCAGTAGAAATGGAATGGTACAATACAGTAATTTATCTTAGAAAATGTGATGATGACATCAGAAGTCACTGGCATGAAATGGAAATCCATGCTAACTGGAAGCAGAGGCTATTTTCTTACCTATAACAAAACAATTGCAACAAGACAGATGTTTATCAGTTTCTACTTAACTAAGAAAATGATGCCCTAGCTTGATCCTAACATTTTAATCAAATCATTTTATTTAAAACTGGCATGGAAGACAGAAACTGTTACTCTTACCTATAATTGCTTCCTTGACACTGGAGTCTACAGGAAGGATGTTCTTTTCCACCAGCTCCATGGGACCAGGCCTTTGTGCAATCTTCTCGTTCAGGTCATCTGCCAGTCGAGCTCTCTTCAGCTTCATCTGTGTGGCCTGCAGAGACGGCTCTGCAAACGTTTCTGGAAGATGAAGCACAGCTTTAATCATGGCACCTATCAGGGCAAGTAACTGAACTAAACTACTTGAAGAAGGTTAAACTCTGGAAGGAGAGAGTGACTGCTGAGAAAGCGGGGTAGATTTTGTTTCTTTGAGTGGGGCAGCTACCTGTCTATGCAATATGAAGGTCCCAGGGTTGCATGATCATGAACTGAAGCTGGAAATGGGAACTGCCACCATCTGCTTATAGGAGGTCAGGTTTGTGTAGAACACATTTACTAGGTACCAGGGAGACACAGCATGAAGACACATGTGGCCCAGAGCTCTAGAAGTGGATGGTCCTCATTTGGCTTCCCTGGAAAGACAGTTCCTCAAAAGGGAGGCACTGAATCTTAGAAGTTTCTTTACTTTCTTCGGTGGGAAGAGCTATGATTAATATTCTTGGGTTGATTGTATCTTAGGTCAGTTATAATTAAGAATTTGAGCTTATTTAGGAACAGAAAACCTCATTTTGCACAGAGATTATGGTACACAGAACCACCAGCTCATATCCTTAAAATGACATAGTTGCTACCACAGACATGAAGCTGCTGTAGTTCTCCCAATGCCTCTGCTTCATCCTGTCAGTTGTCACTTGGGATAAGCCATTGACATCTCCTCCCATTGTCTTGAGCTATGTTTTGCTGGTTTAAAAATAAGTGGTATACTATCACCCCAATTCTGAGTTGATTCTGAGCTCTGAGATGAAGTACCCAGAGCTGTACAGAACACTGTGTGTAGGGAGAATAGGACCAGTCAGCCAGTTACACTGATTGCTTTCAATGCTTCTATGAATCTCAAAGAAGGCGAGCCTTCAGTCTTTCTCCCTTCTCCCATTAACACCACGTAAGTGACAGCAGCAGTACATCTGCAAGGAAAGTCTTCCCAAAGTAGAAAGCAGAGCCTGGTTGGTGTGCTTCTGTCTGTCTTGCTTCCTCCTTAACTCCATGAAGCCAAGGCTCATTTTTACTGTTGAATATTGGAAGACAATTTAGACTCTAACCTACTAAATACCCACTTCAATTAAATTAGGTTAATGTCAAAATATGGTTTTAAGGCAATTAAAAAATTAAAGATGATGTATTTTCAATTTGAGAATGCATGTTTAACATATGTTCTTATATTTAAAAATATGTACGAATGTTTTGCTTACATGTGTATATGTGTACCATGTATGTGCGTGGGTGTCCATGAAGGCTACAAGAAGGCATCAGATCCCTTGGAGCTTGAGTTACAGGAGGTTGTGAGTTGCCTGACATGGGCATTCCAACTGAACAGCGTGCTCTACAAGAGCAATACAACATCTTGCCGAGCCATCTCATCTCCTTGGCCTTTCTTTCTTTCTTCCTTTCTTTTTTTTTTTAAATAAAATAAAAAAGGGTACATGTATTTCTTTTTATTTTAATTATATTAATGACAGCTTCTAGAGTCAGAAGCAAATATAAACAGCACAGTATACACAAGCACACACATTGTTTTTTTGCTGTGTTATTTAGTGGAGGGCTTAGTGAAGTCAATGGTTCCTGAGATCTGTAGTGCTCTATCCTAACCCTGAATCTCTGGTAAGGTTTTCAGTTCAGGGAACTAACACAACCCATGATAGAGAAAGGTACACATCTCCCATCTCCCACATGGGACCAAGAAGGACACATATAGGAGAACACACTCTTCAGGTCTGCAGAAGCCAGTGCGGTGCTTGGAACTTCTTCAGAGCATATTCTAATGCAGTTATCAGCCTGTGTTCTTTCTCAGTCAGAGCTGTATGATTGTCCTCTGTTTGTCTGCCCCTGAAGCACATGATGCAGGAAGACAGGTAGCTTTACCTTGCTCACTGTTGGGCCCTTGGTGCCTAGCATCAGGCAGTGAATGCAGCCTTCTGAGGAGCGGCACCCTTGACTGCATGTGAAGATCATCCTAACCCTGTCACTAGGCTCTTTCTGCCCCACCACTGTCTGTAAATGTCTGTGGTGTCTCCAGACTCTTCTTAAAGCTTGACACACTTGAGACTGCTCAAAAGGTCAAGCTCCTAGTCTTCCTCAGTTACAGAGGCGGGTGATAGGAGAATTGAAACTCTGAACATTTCTGATGGAGAAGCTGATCTTCAAGATGACTTTCTTAGAGAGAAAAATAGCCATGTGAGCCTGTATTCTGTAGGAATTTCAGAATTATTTTGCCTCCAAAGGCTAAGACTATACCACTCAGAGGTCAGGTCAAGACCACTATAGGTCAGCAGTGACAAAGAGGAGTAGTGACATATGTGGGCATCGTTTCGGATAAATATCAATGAGATTTAAGCTGTCAAAAAATCTGGAGCTAGATGTGTGACTATTGTGTGCACTGACTTAATGATACATCTCTCTCTCTCATGACAGAGAAGTCTTATGAACCAAAAATGTCCTTCCAGGACAGTACAAGTGAAACTTAGGAATCAGCTGGTAGAAAAGCCAGCTCATCAAGTGACTGTTCCCCAGGTGTCAAGTTTTGAGTCTTTATGGTGTTATCCAGTTTGGAGGATGTCAGCCCATGGGGGAAAAAAGATATTAAAATAGGAATAAATGGAAATGGCAGACACCTCACTTTTCTTCTTACAGAAATGAAGTCAAGTCAGCAGAAATACACCCCTTACCTTCTAAAATATGCATCCTGACCAGTTCAGAGCGGTCGGGGCGACTCCTGATCTTGTGCTTCAGAAAGTTTTCAGTCTTTAAAGAAAAAAAAGTATTGTTTATGACTTATTGTAGTATTATATTTTCTCCAAAAATCAATACTATGTCCTTTTTGTTGTATCTTTGAGAGAGTAACTAGACATCAGTGCCTAGGGGAACTATCACGAGCACACAGTCTCAACAGTGTAGCCTGCAGTCTCATCCATGGGTCGATGTGCATCAACGTGAAACTGAGAAAAGCTCAATTTCTTAAGATGAGCTTTGAATAAACATAATATTTAATTCCTTTATTTAAAACAAATATTGTAGAAGAGGAGAAATTTATACAGATACTAAAATTCTTAAAAATAATATATATTATTTAAGTTCATAGTCTTCACACAATCTCTAAAACTGTACTCAACACTCAAGAAATAGGTCTAGGAGCTGATAATTGCGTTCTGGGGAATTTTTATATTTTTATTTTCATACTGGTTAACAGAATTCCTTTCCCTCAGGCAAAACAGAAAGTATGTGCATCATGGCACTGAGCTCCCATGTGACATGTGGCCACAAAAGAACCATTTTCAAGAACTCAGATGAGCCGGGCAGTGGTAGCTCATGCTTGTAATCCCAGAGCTTGGATCTCTGTGAGTTCTAGGCTAGCCTGGTCTACAGTAAGTTCCAGGATTGCTAGGGCTGTTACACAGAGAAACCTTGTCTTGAAAAACCAAAACGAAACAACAACAAAAAAAAAAAAAAAAGAAAGAAAGAAAAGAAAAAGAACACAGTTGAGTGTAGCATGTTCTGTATTTAGCTGTGTTCTCAATCCTTAGGCATATGAACAGTGACACAGACTCAGGGAAATTGGCCAATGACCTTCAGAAGCACTTGACTTCCTTGTCCCTCTGCAGGGCTAACAAACAGCAGAGGCTCTTGCCCAGTCTGTCGTTCAACTCTGGTCTTGCCCTAGCCTGCTGTCCTATGAAACCCAGGACCACCAGCCCAGATGTGATGGGCTGGGCCCTCCTACATCAGTCAAGTAAATGCCCTATAGGCTTGCATCTCAGTTGATGCCTCTTCTCAGATGATTCTAGCTTGTGTCAAGTTAATAAGAAGCTAGTCAGCACAAGCCTGAAAACAAAGTAACTAGTTAATTTTATTTTGTTTCTTATTTTATGGGTATGTGTGGGAGTAATGCATACACATGTGTGTATATGTGTGAGCATGTCCATGTAGAGTGGGGGTGATAATGCATGTATATGTGATATAGAATGTGGGGTACCACATATCTTGAGATAATATATATGTTCTGCATCAATATATTTAAGAGTTCTGGTGCTTGGGATACAGCAGAGAAATAAAGATTTTTTTAAAAAAGTGAAATTACTTACTCTGGCTCGTTCCAGGCTTTTTATCTGCTCATGGAATGCTGCCGGACTCTTCAAAGCTGTTAGGAAGAAAACAAACAGTTTCTCTAGCATAAAACAGGAGCTCACATCTTAGCTCACCACTCTGCTAACCCCAACAGTATGCATCTGTGCTGATTTATTCACAGTTCCTTTATGAGACTCCTCTAAATAAGAAGACTTCAATGTTGTCCAACTGAAATTATATACATCACTAGTAAAACAAGTGGACATTTCAAACAGAGCCGATGTGTAATGACTGTGTAAGTGCCAGGCTAGACCATTCCAAGGCCCAGGGACTTCCACAGGCCTTTAAGGTTCTAGGTGCCCATATATGCTGCTAGACAAAGCCCATTTGGCCCTGGAACTTGAACATGGGGACACACAACACTCATTTATGCAGAACTCACAACCAGCTTGGCTCTGTGGTAAAGCACAGTTAAGACTTCTTTTGGTCTCCCTAATAAACCTGCAAAATGGGTATGAACCCCAGTATACGAAGTATAGCTAAATGTTGGTCAAGTGGGTTTTAAATCTAGTATTCTCAATTTAAAGGATCATGCTCTTTGTACCACACCATAGTGCAACACACACAAGATGACTCTTCGTTAGTCATCAGCATTCTATTGTAGAATCTCAGCACGAGCGGAAGTGGTATTTGCATTTCAGTATGCCACCTTTGGAGACTCTAGATTTGTGTCCATCCATTATTGCCTTGGAATAGTAGCATGTAAGAACCACGGACATAGGTCAGTAAGGGCAGGTTGTCTTGAGCATAATCTTCTCGTTTGGTTCTTAAGACACCTCTTGGGAGCCCACCTCTCCACACCAGCCAGGGCTGACCTAGCAGTGGTACCTTTTGATTAACTGACTAGGGGAGGACTATGGCAGCGGAGATACCTAGCAGATTATCAAGGTGACTTCGGGCTACCCCAGCTGGATTTAAGATATTTAGATGACAGACAATAAGTAGTTTATAAAAGCTTCACTGATGAAAAACAATCTGCTAAAAAGCAAACAAAATACATTCCTCTATCTTCAGTAACTAATAAATGATTTCTGGACTAGCAATGAGTTATAGGACTGGGAAACACATGTTTGTTCTGTAATTTCTAGTGTTTTAAAGTGGAATAAATTAACTCTTAGAAAAGTTAATTTCTAAACAAAGTCCAGATAAACAATCCTATAGAAAACAACCATTCCTTCCTCTAAAATCCCCAAAGCTGGTGGTTAAAGGTAAAGGAAACAGTTTAGATACGTATCCTAAAATGAACTCTTACAAATCTCTTGAAGGAAACAAGTGTATTCAGGCCAGAAAGCCCAAACTAACTGTAGATAGCATTCTGTCAGTTGCAAACCTGAGATGCATGTAATTAAGTAGATCATAGCCCAGCACCACAGGACAATGACCTTGAGTTAAATTCTGGTAGAAGGTCATGAGTTATTGGTATCACATTACTCTTACAGGTCTAACCTCAAATGTACCAGAAGAGTTACCAGTTCAACCACTTTAAGGTTCAAACAGACATTAAAGCTCGCAGTAAGAACTTCATATTGGGGGCTGGAGAGATGGCTCAGAGGTACAGATGGCTGCTCTTCCAGAGGTCCTGAGTTCAATTCCAGCAACCACAGGGTGGCTCACAGCCATCTGTAATGGGATCTGATGCCCTCTTCTGTCATGCCACAGTAGAGCACATAGAGTAGATGCAAGCAGAGCACTCGTATACATAAACCACATAAATAAATCTTAAAAAGAAAAGAGAACTACAGGGTCGGTCTTAAAGGCATTCTTCATTAGTGTAAAATTCAAGCCCATTGTTAAGCTGCATCTGTTTCTAAGATGTACTAAGGGTTCTCCTAGCTGGGCCATGCTGACACCGGGCTGTCTTGATGAGCCCTCATGGAATGGAAGGAGGTAAGCCTCCCTCAGGAGTGCCATCATTCCCCACACACCAGAGACAACAGTGAGCTGGGCTTACGTGGCATGATGCCCTGGTCCACTAGCTGTTCTCGTGTCCTCCTTTGTTGCAGCCTCAGTTGGAGCACTGTGGAAAGGAAAGAGTTTGAGTTTATCAGCAGCTGTAACCCCCATTCCCCAAATTCCAAAGGGGACACTGTTATCCTTTATTAAACACCCACTGCAATATCCAACAAGACAGAAGTCAGTTGGAAAGCTGAGTGTGGGCCATGTCTGTAAACCCAGCTCTCAAGGGGTGAGGCAACAGGGCCACTGAAGGTTGCATAGTGAGTTCCAGGACATCCTAAACTACCTGTAGGGTGAGGTCTTGTCTTAAGGAGGGAGGAGAGAAGACAGTACTTGGCACTAAGGTGGGAAAGAAAATTATTTTGTGAATCTGCTTGATGATTTCTGAATTTACTCAGTAATTTTTTGTTTAGTTAATTTAAATCTATGATGAATGCTAAGCATTACCTATTTAAATACTTCACAAAGTACTCAAGCAAACTGATAGTTAGCTTATACTTTATGATTTGTTCAAAGGAAATCTCATTTGGAGCATAATATGAGATTCCTTGACATTTTTCTGTTAATGGTAACAATTTACTTTAAGAAAAGACTGGCTTGTTTGGAAGGACTTCTCCACCAGGAAAGAATATAAAAGAAACAGCTTTAGTGATACTTGAATGCAAATAAATTAGGCCAGAGAGAAACTTCTAAGTCATGAGTTTAATGGTCTTTGCATAAATAAACACTGAGTCTCACCCTCCAAGTCCTGAGAAAGCTATAATCAGCTGGTATCACTGTTTAATACAGTGAGAATTGGTAGAAACAAGGCCCACATTAGGGAATGTGGACATTCAGCTTGCCAAATAAAAATTAACTTATCTCCCCTGATTTTTCAAGGAGATTCTTTTTATAGAATCGCTAGATATTCAATTTAGAAAACAAGTCTATTTTAAAAAGAACATAGCAAGTAAAACAGAAACCCTTTTTCCTTGTTATTTTAGGTTGTTTTGCTTTTATTTTCAAATTATGGTTGGGATGACTAAGGGTCTGCATAAAAGTTACCAACATGCTAATATGCATGTTTCTTCATGGCAGGGAGAGAAGCCGGCTGAACAGAGGCTTAGAATGCAGCACACTGGTGTTTCACATTTGCAGGAGACCCTGGGTGCCTCAGGGACCTGTCCTGACAGTACTGGCCCTGTGCGGACTACAGAGCAGAGTCCTGCCTTAGGTTGCACAAAGAGCCCTGAAAGGCTCCATGACTCTCATGAACACCTTCTTTTGAGTACTGAACACAGAAATGTGATGGGGTTGTTTTTGGGTCACAGAGTTTCACTGATAGCATTTAGAGCTGAAATGGTTGATATAAAACTGTCACAAGCAGCAAAGGTCAAGTAAAAGCAACTTAATCAGCATGCAAACTTCAGACATTAGCATTTTTCAGGAACATTGAGGCTAACCCTGGGTAGTACTTAAGGTGGTCACAGCAGGGAGAATCCCAAAGAAAGGAATGAGAGGATAGAATGTCAAGGTGTCACTCCAGCTCAGAGGGTCCATGTCAGGGAGAAGCTCCAGCAGTAAGCAGTGTCTTTCCCTTCTCCCCAGAGATCCTCAAAGAAAGGTCACAGAAACAACAATGGTCCCATAAAAAAAAAAAAAAAACAAACCAAACCCCAAACACAGTATGTAGTTATGAGACACGCTTTGAACACTGCACTTTCTACATATTTTCATCAGGACATACATTAGCATCACTCCTTCAGCAAGCCAAGAGGCACGGGCAAGTTTGTGCTTCTCAGAGGCTCTTCTGATTGGATACTGGGTGCTGCAGGGACCCACCAGCACAGGAGGGCAGCCCTGAGTTATTCAAGACTGAAATCACTCATGCTAACATGCGCAGTGTATCTGCTGCTGTGAGGCTAGCACACAGAATGGACACATGCCATCTGATGCATTCCTTGGGCCAACACTCCTGCTGCAAATGCACAGGCTTCCACAGTATCTCTGTCCTCCACTCTGAGGACAGCAACTGGGTGTCCAACAATTCCAATCAAATCTCACCCTATATACTCAGAGTAAAATATGACTCTCTGGACTCTCCCAATTTCAAAAACTAGTCACTAGTCTAGGCTATTCATACTACAGCATCCTCCTCAGACTTGAGTATTTGCCTGACTGTCCCATACAATGTAGGAAGAGACATTATTTATGACTGCTGTTTTACTATGAAGGACACAATTCAGAAACAGATCAATGGAAGAAATGCACAGGGAGGGGTCCTCTGCTGGGCTTCTATCCTTTCTCTGACTCCATCTGTGCCTTTCTGGAACTAAGGATACCCAGAAGCCATATAGGGACCCCATCTGCCTATCATCTAGCATACCCCAGATGTTCTCATCACTGGCAACACTGAGCAGCCTGTGTGTCAGGAACCGAGGACTAAGATCAAGGCTCACAGATGCTTACTCGCCCCCTCCTTCTGCCACCTAGGAAGCCATTTTAGGAGCCATGAGCCAGGAAGCAGACGCAGAGGGCAGGTATACATTTCTCATACCACCAAGAAGAGGCACCAACCACCAAATGTTAAAACAAAAACACACACAAGTCCTGTGTTTTTATCCAGCTTCCTATATGGCTAAAATAAGCAACCTCCTGCATAACCTAGGTCATTTTTCCTGAAGGGAGTGGAATGATTTAGCCAATGCTCTCAAAATTCCTCGTATAGCGTTCCCAAAGTAAGAACATGCACAGCACCTCTGTTGTATGGGACTGCTGGAGGAGCACTAGCTAACTGCTAATGGGACAGCCATTTTGAAGCAGAGACATTAGAAAGGGCATGACTGGAGAGGAGGCAGACTTAGAAGTACTGAGCTTTGTTATGTCTGCTGTTTGCCCATCTCTTCCACCCTCTGCCTGTGCCCAGAGGTGGACAGTATGGGGCATACAGTATCTAATACACAGACTCAGGTAGAGAGAGGGTATAGATCAGTTGTAGGGCTTGGTGAACCCTGGGTGTCGAGAGTGGGAAACAGAGATGTCCCAGTACATTGCAAACCTTGGTGAATTTTAAAATACAACTATGGCATTTGCTCATACTAAACACAACTAGTGAGGAGCAATTTGGTAAAGGTTATTAGAATATATTAGATATATAGTGCCATATAGTACAGACTAGTAATTTTAGAAAATCGCAAACTTCCTGCTAGTACTCCTCTCACCAACTTAGTAGAAAGCAATGAACACAGAATACATTCCAGCAGACAGGGGCAGCACGCTGGGGGGCAGAGGTTGGGCATTGGTGCCTTTCAGGGGTTGAGAAAGGAATCAGAGGACACGACTCTTTCAACCACAGATGTGCCCGTGGCAATGGCTGAGATGCCTGATCAGGAAAGGTCCCCTTCCTCTCTCTGCAGTCTCTACATTAACCAAGTCTGGCCTATCCATGTGAAAGAAAAATCCCAGAACGTTGGATGTTACTCCACCCCTTGTAGAGTTGCATCCCTAGCTGCCCTCCTAGATTGCATATCAGCCTACCATAATGTCCTATGATGGCACAGGTGACTGAGGAGCGCTTCATGTTTGTCCACTGTACCAGACAGCAGTATCCTGTGCCTCTCTGAGACATCAGACTGCACTAATGGGCTCATAGCATCACAAAGTGCGCATTATAAGCAAATGACTGAAGGGAAAAGAATATGTGTGAAGTGGAATTCTGGTGGGAGACCAATTCAAAACACACACCGACGATATGCTTACATCTTTCATAAGGCAAATGCCACAGCTAAGAAAGTAAAACTGAATTCACATTTGAATTCTTGCAGAGGTTGTCTTTATTTTTGGAAATTTGAGGAATGAAAGCATTTCAATGCCCTGTCCCCTGAGAAGTCCTTAAACACATTTGTTTCATAAGGAAAAAGAAAAAGAAGTGCTGACACACAGAAGTATACTGCATACAAGCAGCAGGGCACCTTTGAGAGCCTCCATCGCAGTGTGTGAATCCAAATGCTGTGCACTTCCAGATGTGTAACATTCACAGGGTGTACAAAGGCCTTGCCAATGGTGGCAGATGAGGGCTCAGTCCATTTGTGATACGTGCATGGTTCCCATCTTTCTCAACTAGTCTGAGCCCTAAGTCACATTAAACAAGAATATAGAAAAGAAAGAGAACTAAAAGTGAAAACCATGGATGCCAACACCCAGGACACAGTGGTTCCTTGCTTTGCACACTGCTGTCTCATCATGCTCTACACAGCGATAAGCACTACATTAGCAGCTGCGGGCTACGTCTGCTGGGTACCATACAGCTCTCAAGAGCCACTATTTATCACTGACTTGTTTCCAATGTTTGCAATAATGATCTTCTGGTGGGGTTTTGGGCATAAACTTTATTCCTCACTTCCTAAATTTAAATTTCTAGACAGAAGGATGCCTCAATGGCCTCTGCACGCAGCATGACTGCTAGGTAATGGGACTAGTCTGTGCACACACATCATGCCTTCAAGTTACAGCAGATGAGTGAGGCTACAAATGACTCTTACTTTCTTTTACCAAGGCAAAATGTCTCATGTTCCTCAGGGCATTCATGGTCTTTCCTATTAACTTCTACAAGGAGAAAGTTTTTAAAAAATTTTTTAACTTAATAATTATTATAAAACACAAAAACCAAATTGTGTCAATTTAAGTGTTTTGAACTTACTCTATTTTCATAAAATAAAATACTTGATCTTAGTCACTACTATGAAAAAGGTAGTTTATCTAATGATTAATCTTGTACCATGTAAACATGACAAGTGTTTTGACAGTAAAGTGTCTTCTTTTAGTTACCTTCCCTTTCTTCTTAAAGAGTCTAAGGTAATAAAATTAAGATTAATATCTAACATAAGATCTTAATATAATAACTTACACAATACTTATATAAAATTTTAGCTTTTCAAATTCAAATGACCAGTATTGAAATGTTTCCTACATTTGATATGATTAAAGTGATTTTCATGTTTATTAATAACAATGAACAATAGGAGCCAAGCAAGCCAAAACAAAGCACAGCTTTGATTTGGGACTGTGAGGACACCTGAGGGC